TCGAGGTCTATCCTTGGTCCACCAAGCTAGGCGATTCGAAACAATCTCGCTATGATGACGTGTGTTGTTGCGCCAACTATACGCCACAAGCGTTGCATTCATGTCGATTTATGTATAAACACAATCCAATTCGCACATGTTAGTAGATACACAGTAAAAAAAAACATTTTGTATTTGTGTTAGAAATGGTCCACTCAAGTTCTTGTTAAAAATTTTGTGTTGAATTTTTAACATATCTGAATGTTAATTTAATATAATGTGACAGTATTATTTGAACATTTTATGTTAAATTGATATTCTTAACATTTCTTAATGTTAAAATAATACAATTTATATAAGTGAATAACTAATACAAAAATGTTTTTTTATGTAAGTTCTTAAAAAAAATAAATAAAATGTGTAAATTTAATATATTTAAAAACATAATTTAACATATTCACATAAATGTTAATTTAAACGAAAAAATATAATCGCTCACAAATTGTATGTCAGTGTCACGTTTTTTTCTGTTAATTTTTAACATAATATTTGTGTTACTTTTTAACATATTCATTTTAAATTAACACAAAAAAATTGGAAAGGACAGTTTGGAACATGTAAAATGTGTTAAATTCAATACAAATTTTGTACAATTGTGTACATCTGCAGCTTTTCTCATAATCAACGAAAAATCCAGTATCAAATATCTTGGCACTTGATCGCTATGCGATAGCGTAATCCATAATCTGTATTATTTCGTGAGTTATCAGAAATGATTCGGAAACGGAAACTTGCGGCTTTCGCGCGTAATCAGTCTGATTGGAAAGAGCCGCCGTTTCCATCAGAATAGAATGCAAATCCCGGAAGTCTCGTAATTCGGTCGCAGTGTCTTCGCACCAGATCACCCGGTAGAACTCCATAGTCACGAGTAGGCTATTACCTAACTCTCGCGTAGTTGCGTATACAGAAAGCAAGATAGCCAGCCGATGGGGCCGCGGCTCGGGCGCGTATATACTCGGGCTCCACAGTTACGTATCTAGAAGCTTGCCACCGATGCTGCCGCGCCGTTTGGTCCGGGGCGGGTAGGTAGGTACCGTATTATATACGTAGTGAGGGCTGGAGGGTCCTCACCGCCGCAACATTACGCTGATTGCCTGAATTATCCGCAACCAGCCTGCCTATGCTCTCTACTATGTACAAGTAT